GCTGAAATTAAAACGAATGTATACTCTCGTACCGTATTAGGAGAATAACTATGGTTATTCCCAATTCTTTTACATTGACAGTAACGAATCGATTTCGACTCTTTAATCAACAAACAGTATGAAGTATTACTATATCAACGCTAAGTGCCGTCTTCGACGTATGAACGATATATTTAGCCCCAGACAAGTCAGATACGTGATAGCTTACGGGTTTACGGTTTTATTGCTTTTCTAATTCCTCAGAGAGAAATTAAACCGGAGAATTATTGACCATTACCATTAAACGTAAGAATGAAAGCGTTAAGAAAACAAAACACGAAACTAAAGAATTATACATCAGGGATTTTCAGTTGATATAGTATCAACAAATGCAGCTATACATTTGAAAATATTTTTGAGTGCATTTGAGGTAATGATGGACTTTTAACATTTAATGACGGTTTAAAAAAAGTAATTTGAAAAAATGGAATCGTGTAGATGTATAGCTCATAGTCTATATTTATAAATTGAATCTGCAGTATCTGATCATATTAGGGTTGCATTCAATAATAGTTTTTAGCCATTTTACTAAAAGATATCACAAGAATTTTACGAATAAATGTCACCTTCTCTCGCTCTGACCAGTTGTAAACCCTTTGCATTAAAAAATGGATGCATTTCCGTTATGTGCAGGCCTTGATCCGTTGTCTATTTTTGACTTTACTTTTATGTTTTTTTCCGGATATATCAGTACTCAATGTTTGTATTATGATTCAGATTAACAAAGCCTAAAGACGGAAATGCGCATCTGGTATAGGAAAAATTGGCATCGTTGTTTTATGTTATTTTAATGGATAGAAATAATTTTATTTTTTGTACAAGTTTGTTGTTCAGTAATATTAAGTGGAAGAATATTATTAGACCATATAGCAAACTACTCTAAAAATCTTCTTCTTTCATCATTATCAGGTCTAACCAAACTTGACCCGTAAGAACCATATGTAATCAAGGTAAAAACTTCTGGCTGATAGTTGGATGAACAATTAGAGGAGGAGGAGGAGAAGGAGGCAAGTTAAATGCATATTCAGGACGAGAACATGTTAATACTAGTATATTATGAATTTTGAATCCTGCTTGAATTAGACTGACACTCTGAGCCGGATTTTAAACGTGCTAGTTCACAAAGCAACAGTCAGCAGAAAGACATGTTGCCCGATCCGGACACATTATTCTGACTCCGGACCGACGATTTTTGCTCTTACCCCCAAATGCCATGTGCTTAGCGGAGAAGCAGAAAATACCGATGTTCAAGTCTCTGGTTTGACCCGGGTGGGGATCGAACACAAGACCTTCCGCACCCGCGGCGAGTGCGCTACCACGAGACCACCGAGGCTAAAACAAGATAAGTTTTGTAAGTACACCAACAATAATGTTGTAACATTGGTTTGTAAAAGGAATTTTCTTTCAGTAGTCTTCGGTATGCACTGTCACAGTGCGGACCTGACATTTCTATAATAACTTGTTGATATGCAATCGAATAAGTTGTTAAATGATAAAGGGAGTACAGAAGTTGGTGACAGAACACAAAGCTTCTGGTATCTTATGGTTGAACATCAAATCGCTAATTTATTGTTAACTTTGACCGAAGCCCAAAAGTTCCGTTTGTATTTCTTCATGTACATTCTGTACATACTCGCGCTTGAAATCACTTTGCACATGCACCAATATTAGTTACACAATGTGATAGTGTGTCTTCCTTTATTGATTATATAGGTGCTGTATGGAATCTTAATCAAGATTATTTTAACCTCGCGACATGCTCATTTGCCAATTTAGAATTATTTGCTGTTACAAAATTGTCAGAAAATAAATGAGTTTACCAAATTTAGTGCCCATTACCTTGAAACAGAAAAGGGAGGACACAGAGTTGTAAGTTGTTATAACACAATGTTGAAGATAACATTTAATTTCTACTTCAATATACAGCACGTAGTGCTGAATAGTTTGGTTTTATGATTGATATTTTTTTTTAAATTTTAGATGAAAAATCAAAATATATGAGGCTGATACCAGATGAGTATCCTATAGTTAACAATAAGTTTAATTTAAAATAGCTAAATTTTCAGAATGTGGGTGAGCCTCATTTCTTCCATCAATTAGAACTGTAAAAATCCATCTGCACTGTTTGTGTTGACTCATAAGACATAAGACATGAGACATAAGACATTTTATTTCACTAGAGCCCCCGCATGGGGTATGTTAGTACAACATTTTAACGAACAATAAAAGTATGAACATATTTACATTAAAACAACATGGTAAATAATGGTGCAATAATAGTATAATACATAATGAACTAATATGTGACAGAAAGTACAAATTATAGTAACATGATTAAGAACATGTCTTAAAACGTTTTAAATACCCTTCTGCAAAATCTTGCCATTCCAGTTAGTGTAAATAAATCTGATGTATTCATAAATTTTAAAACATTTTGGTTATTACACATATTCGTTCATTGTAGGAATACACTGTGTTTGTTGTCTCCCTTTTCGTATGTCTAGATTAGTTTAAATTTTTTTCCAACAATCAACAAAATTTTTTGCACTCTGTATCTATAACTGCTGTTTTGTGGCGTCATAATTGAGAAACAAAGCATTGCTTGTTTTGTGTGTAGTTCTCTGAAGTGTTTAAGTTATTTGTGTCGTTTGGTTGCTGTTGACGTAAACCCTACATCTCCTCTTATTCATACGTATCGAGTTTCATACGACCAAATGAATGTGGTGCTTACTGTACATGATCCTTTCTTTTAGATATAAAACTGTACTTTATAATTTTTCGATACTTCCTAGCAGCTGCGTTCCTCACTAGACATACATAGCGTGAACGTCATGAAAAGAATTCCTTCAAAACCGATGATGTGAAATTTGCAGAAATATTTTATCGCTAAAGTCGACACTAGGGGCCGTCTTGACCTTGTTGTAGGGTATGAATGATGCGTTCATTGTTGAAGACCCTACATCAACTGTCAAGATGAAGAATAGGAATAAAAGTCCTGTTCATTGATAATTTTTTATTTTTTCTATGTATTGTGTGCGGTTTTGTCCCATGTACATTTATTCCATATCCATTATTTTCTATTGATTCTAGAGTTTGTCTCTAGTGCTGTGTGGAGGCAGTGGAGAACGTTTCCCCGTGCTTGAGGTGTATGCTCTTATAATATTTACAGTTATGATGTGCTTGTTCATGTCAGAATTTCTCATATTAATATACCGTCAAGATTTCATGTTTGGCTATTTAATATTTTCTTAATTTCTTCAAAATAATGGTCTGGTCATCTGTTTTGTATATTGCCCTTTCACACTATTTTAAACTGCTAGGTTTTCTTACATATATTTCGATGTGCCCCGTGCTGTCTATCATTTGTTGTTTAGTTTTATATGTATCGTCTATCATTTGTTTGTTTCGAATGTATTGGTCTTTTGTTGGGCAATGTGTGACAAATATATGTTGCAAAACCTCGCCCGTAATTATAAATTATGTAATTCATTAACCGCTCCCGACATGTGTAACTATAAAGCATATTTTAGCGGCGATCGATGTCTTTTAAAAATGACTGCACTTTTCTTGTATCCCTGGTGCTTTCGACTGGAGAACCGTCTTACACAAGCTTCGCACACGTTGGCACTCCGAGGCGGGTGAGAAACAGGAAGGTGAACTGTGGTTTATTTTTATCAATATTACCGCTTAAGTCGACGCTAGGGCCGTCTTGACCTTGTTGTAGGGTATGAATGATGCGTTCATTGTTGAAGACCCTACATCAAATGTCAAGATGAAGAACAGGAATAAAAGCCCTGTTCATTGATAATTTTTTATTTTTTCTATGTATTGTCTGCGGTTTTGTCTCATGTGCATTTACTCCATATCCATTATTTTCTATAGCTTTTGTTATGAGTAAAAATATCCCTATTACTTAGAAATGAAAAATAGCAATCAATAAAAGCGATGTATATTTTCTTTGGTTTTATCAAGAGCGTGATAGACTTTGTATTAGAGAAGAACACTGCTTTACAAGAAAGCTTACACGATCGTCCAGTTATAGTAAAAGAACAGTAGCGACTAGTGTTAACATTGTGGAATTCTTGATGTGGTTTTCCTGAGTTTTAGTAAATGTGACTGATAACATCAATCTGTGATTGACACCGCTTCGCGTAATTGTAAAGACCTTCTTCTTTTCATTGTGGTACGACAAGGTGATAAATGGTAAGAATATAAAAATAAGGAGATGTTGTATGATTGACAATGAGACAACTATCCACCAAAGTTCAAATGAAGTGGATGAAAGCAATTATAGGCAACCGAACGGCCTTCAACAATGAGAAAACCCCATACCGTATAGTCGGCAATAACAGAACCCGACATGAAAAATATAACATCCACCTGTGGTTTACGCCGCATCAAATAATTGTAAAGACCTTCTCTTTTTTTTTTTTATTGTGGTACGATAATGTGTATGAAAGCTGATAAATGGTAAGAAGTATATCAACAACAGAATGCTAGTGTAACGTTCCATACGTGAAGTTTAATTTAAGTATATACAAACGATGCTTTATCGACATTAAAGATGGGAATAAAGAATTATATTTTAACGAAATCGCTTAATAAAAGTTTGGTAACCTTATTTGTTTTTGATTAACAAAGAGCTTTTAGCATTGTGAATCAATACGTAAAACAACATTGTTTGGGTAATTACATGTAAGAAAGGGTAAGACACATGTATGGGTTTACTACAAAAATGGTGGGCAAGCGATTAACAGTCAATCTGTTAAGTTGATGACAAGTCTCAATGTACATGACGTTTGACGGATTTTACAATTGGATTTTAGTTGTTCAAAACGCTTTTGACTATCAAAAGCGTCGGTACCGAGCGTACCGAATAAAGATTATTCAATAAAATGCGTGCTATACGCTCTGAGACCAGTGCCACATGTTTAATTTGTGATAAAAAAATCTTTTATAAGTTAGTTTTATTATTTTATTTTCTTAAAAGAAGGTTTTTATCTACTTTAATTTGCAAATTATTTTCTTTAAAAAAGCGTAAATTGTATATTTAGTACGTCATCAAAACATATTTTTCTGTATGTTAGCTCTTTTTTCTTCGTCTTTATATTCAATGTTTATTTTGTTTAAATCATTTAATTGTTGATCTGCAATTTTAGGTTTTGCTTTAACTGGCAATGCAAACTCTAACTTTTCCCAAAACCAAGGATCTGTACGCTGTAAGTACGTTTTAGTTTTCATGTAAAGTTTCAGTTCTGGGTCCAGTTTGGAGGGGTCAATATTCTCCATCAGAATCAAAATAATTTTCTGAGATTTATCTCTTAACACACTGTGATGAGCTGTTTGAAATTCATATTGACACCATTCACTGTCTAAAAAATTGTTTGATACTATCATAATTGTTCTAGAACTGTCTTCAACAGACTGAATGATTGAATCTGCTATACATGCACCAATCGGAAAGTCCCGGAAGTGGAGACATAACTTGTAACCATCTTTATTTTCCAGCCTTTGCACAAGCTCCCGAACAACAAATCCTTCGTCCTTGTGACTATAAGATACAAAGGCATCGTACATTTTGTTCTCGGGTTTTACACTAAACAATCGTATTCCGAATTTATTGTACATGACAACCTGTAATAAGGTTCGATTCATAAACACAAGCGTGGAAATAATAATAACGAGAACTAGGAGAACGAGAGTTGAAGTTAGTGCTTGAACCTCTTTGTAATTAAGAACCTCTCTGTGTTTCTCGATTGTTCTGTTTTGGAATATAACAGATTGGTTTGGGCAGATGGACCAATAGTCCAACTCGACTACATGTTGTTTAGAACCGATAGCAAAACTTTCATTTTTTGTATTATTTACAAAACAATACATGTCATGTCGGTCTTTAATGACGTCAGCTAATTCATATGTGATTTCTTTTAAATCATGTAAATTATTGCAGTCACATGACCAAGGATTATTAGATAAAGTCAGATACTTCAGTGTGACCATTGACTCTGCAAAACCATACGGAAGGGATACAAGCTTATTGTAAGCTAGTCGCAAAACTTCCAAATTTGTTATCCCTTTGAACGCGTCATCTGCAATGAATGCGATGCGATTGTGTTCTAGCTGGAGCAATTTTAAGGATACCAGTCCATTGAGTAATTCAACAACTACACAGGATAGACTGTTTTCATTCAAATATAGATTTTCCAACTTTGTAAGATTGACAAATGCGGTAGGTTTAACAATTTCTATCCCACTTCTATTAAGATAAAGTGTTTTTAGTTGATAAAGTCCACTGAAAATGGAGAATGTAATATAAACTAGGTCATTTCCATCCAGATAAAATATTTTTGCTATTGAAGGTATGTTTTCTGTGACTTTAGTTATACGTTTGTTACTGCAATCGACAATTCCGTTTTCATGATTAAAAGACATGAGACAAGTGCAGTTTGTAGGACAAACCATTCTACAATTACAAGATAAAGATTGGCAGCAATCACAAATGCCGACGCAGGGATCTTCAAACTCACACAACATATTTTCCAGTTGAGCTTTCTTAATCAGAGAAAATTTTCTAATTTTATATCCATTGTAGCAAAGCAAGAATTCGAATTCATCAATTTCTAATCCTTTGCATGACTCAGTCCATCTGTTCAAACATTGTCTCATCCACGAAAGATGACAATCACAGTTAAATCTATTACCCCTGAAATAGAACACTGGCGGAGGAGTGGTGAGTGGCGAAAACTTTATATTGTATGGTTGCAAAGACGAAATATTATTATATTTCAAATCAACTATTTCTAGATGTGGAAATTTAGAAAAAGCTGCTCCTACAATACTGGTCACATGATTATTATTCAAAATTATTTGTTGTAACGCAAATGAATTGTAAAAGTGTCCAGCGTGAATTGGTCCATCTATTTTGTTATAGCCCAAGTCGAGTTGAAGTAATGATAGCATATTCGTGAAAACATAAGCTATATTTTTAATATTGTTATGTTTAAGTAGAACCCATTTTAGTTTTGACATATTTTTAAAAGCGCCAACTTCAATGACTTCAATGTCGTTATTTGATACTTGAAGTAGTTCTAAGCTTCGAGAATTTTGGAAAACATTTCTTCGTAGAGCAGTTAGTTTGTTCCATGATAGATTAATGCCGGCTAAATTTGGAAGTCCCGCAAAACTCCCGTTGTCCAGCTTGCTTATCCGATTATGGCGTAGATCTAATATAAATAATTTCGTTAAATTGTGCAAATCAGGAAAATGATTTAGTTGGTTGTAAGATATATTCAGCAAAGAGGTTTCTGGCATGGAGTTGAGCGTTAGCGGATGTAAAGTCTTCAATTGGTTACCAGTCAAATCCAATTTATTGATTAATCGCAATCCCTGAAAAGCGTGGGATTCAATGTGGCTGATCTCATTATGAGAAAGTAAAAGTGTTACCAAATTCACATGGTTAATGAAAGTATAATTCAAAATTTTGCTAAGATTGTTTCTAGAAAGATCTAAATGTTGTAATCGTCTAAGTTTACCCATGACAGTAATATTTATATAAGTTAACGAACAATTTCCAAGCTGAAGTTCATGAATAGTTGGTAAATAGTATAGATGTTTCCAAATAGAATCTCCTACTCGCGTTGAACCTAGAACAAGTGCTTCCATTTGTTTTCCTGAATGAAAAAAATCATCATCTATCTGTGAAATTGGATTTGGACCTAATCCAACGACTTTGATGTTTATATTGTCTTTCAGTAAGTTACTCGGCAGTTCAGACAAATGGTTTCCGGTTAAATCCAGGAGCTCAAGATTTGTTAAATTTAGCAAAGACTGAGATGAGATATGTGCGACCATATTGTCTGCGATTGATAAGTACTTGAGATTTGGTGTAAATATGCCGAATGTAACATTAATCTCATGAATTTGGTTATTATTCAATATTAATACCAATAAATCTGTAAGTTCTTCGTCGCATTCCATGAAATTTGCATTGGATATATCCTTGATAAAGTTGTTTGTAAAATTAATAAACTGTATTTTATTTAATCCATATAAAGGGGGAAATTGTGTAACACCACTATTAGTTATGACAAGTCTACGCATGTTCGGTGTATCCAAAAATGCTTTGTCATGTATAGAAAGGTTTCTTGCCCTATTGATATTTAATTCACGAAGGTTACGTAGTCCATAGAAAGCATGCTCATGAATGTAATTAAATGAACAATCCGACAATTCGAATGCATTAAATGAATAAAGATGCTGGAATATTCTATCCTGTAGGTGGGAATGTAGTAAAGATTCACAGGTGATGTGCAGAACACTAGTCACATTAGTTTTCAATCTAGAAAAATCAAAATTATTCAGTTTCGATATCGAACAAAACACATGCACGATGGGTTCATTTGTCGTGTATGTAACATAGCAGTCGCAAGGATGAGGACATGCCTTGTAGTTGTTAAAATCCTGGGATCTTGTTGAATAGATAAACAGCAAAACAATCCAGTTTTTCATTTTCTTATTTCTGGAAAAAAATCACAAACAAATTACTTGATTTTTTGCTTAATGTGTCAAATATTTATATTTATAATAGACAATAAATACTAGACAAAAGGAACTATTTAATAGAAAGGAAATAAAGGAACATATTGAAACAAAGCCTGCGAAGATCGATCTGTACTAAGGTATTCTTTCTTGTTACACACGTGAAACAGGTCCTCCGTGGCCGGGTGCTCGTGGTCTTAATAGTTTATTTATAGTAAATACTAGCTAGCATCTAAACTCTGAGGTAGTGATTAAATTTGCTCGAATTCGATCTTTATTGACAAGGTTTGACAGCTTCCATGGCAAAGGTCGTTGGTTCTCTACAGGTTCTCCGCCTTCCGCTACCATTAAAAACCGGCCGCCATAATTTAGCCAAAGTAGCAATAAGTTGTGTTTGACACTAATAATGAAACAAACAAACACGTCAACCAAAACGCTCTATTCCCGTATTTATACTGTCTGTGTAGACTATTATTGGGGAGGTCTATATATTTTTGGGGTTTGTTTACGACGCAGAATATCTGTATATAACGTTGTAAGGTTGTTTATTTTGTTACAATTTATTGTTTTGTTTTTAGAATAGTTATTATTCCGATAAAAAAGTCCTTTTAATTTTTCTGTTAAGGCCAGGTTTTTTAGGAACGACTGTAGCGTCTTGACATCATTTAAATATTTTGGAAGTTTTGGAGAAAATTGATTTGGAAAAAAAATAATTGTATAATGAAGTTATTAAGGTTTTAGTGCAAAACTATTGTTTAAGGATGTTCGCTACTCTGTTTCAAAATAACAAGCTCTTTAAACGACTGTTATAAATTGATAGTATATAAATGAAGGAACTGAAAAAGAAGAAAAAAATGAAGGGTCCGTGTGCTTGTTTTCTAGATATAAACCATTTAAAATTTGGCGGGAAATGATTCTCTCTAGATTTTTCATACACTTAACATTGGTACCTTTTTTCTTTCAAAAACAATGAAAAATAACAAGGATTTAATAAGATTTTCAAATATCACTTTTTAAACTGTATGTAATAAAATTATGAAAAGAAAAGTAGGGGTTAGCGGGCAAAATTTTTAATGGCACTACATGGATAAAATCAGAGGATTCCGAATATCTGGCATAACATCAAAAAAACAAGAGGAGCGAACATCCTTAATAGGCTGTAGTTAGAGTTATGTCTTTGGTTTTTAAATACAAAGTGCAATATTCTAGAAGATATAATCTGAACGTCCATCCTGGTACAAGTTTATGCTAACAGATAATCTACACTAGAACAAAGATAGTACTTAGATAGTAACAGACTGTCAAAACATTGAATTCTAATACCGTTTGCTTAATGATGACAGGGCATTTTGTAGTCTGCGGAGAGAAAAAGGTAAAATAAAAAAATAAAGAAGCCGAACTCCGAGGAAAATTCAAAACGGAAAGTGCTTTATCAAAGGGCAAAATCAAAAGCTCAAACACGTCAAACGAATGGAAAACAACTGACATATTCCTGACTTGGTTCAGGTATTTCCTTATGTAGAAAATGGTGAATTAAACCTGGTTTTATAGCTAGCTAAACCTGTCACTTGTATAAACCAACATTATGTATTAATTATAATGTTGATATGTAAATTCATCCCTGTGGTATTCGTCCGATACTGAATATTACAGTTTTTCTTTATACACTTCACTGCAGTTATTATTTTGACAATACAATTTTCATATAAGCACATAAAAATAATACAAAAAGAGGCTGTAGAAGGTTTTGTTAGGGAAAAAAGAAAATTGACCAAATATTTTCCTTTTTTCTTGTACCTGTAAGCTTTTCTGGCAAAGTTTAACAAAAAAATTGTTATCTAAGCTGGCCAGAATTTTTGACTTATCAATAATTTTCAACCATTTATTTGCATTCATGCTACAAATATTACCACGAAATTTCCTATTTACTTTAAAATATGTTTGTGCTACGCATTTTAACAGTCATGGTATTCCTAATGAGAACTTGTGCAAAAACACACAATAATATATGCCTAGTGTTTTTGGCCGTTTTTAGGGTACCCCAAAACTGGTCATATTCAATATACCCTAAACTTAAATGAAACCGTGAATTTCAATAAGACTTTGGCAGATGATGCATGAACCCCTGCTGTTTAAATGGTGTAAATATAAGAAAAATTAAACGAGAGGGAAATTTTGGTGGTAACAAGGTGTTCCTATTTTATAAATATTGAATACTTCATAATACAGATTAATATTAAATATCTCTTCTTTAAGCACACTCCGTTTAAAGTTTTCGGGTAGCAAATGAAACTTTAAGTAATAGTAAAAGTTCAATGATAAGTTAATATTGATATTAAAAGCCCTCCGAACAAAAAGGGATGTTCAGATCCCCGAGCTCGAAGGGCGAGGGGATTTGAACAGCCCTTTTTGTGAGGAGGTCTTTTAATGTCAATATTAACTTAATCATCGAACTTTTACTAACTTACAAACCGTCAAAAAACATAAGAAAAGTACAAAAAAAGCACTCGCAGAAACCTTATTCCCCTGAATTGGACGCGTCTACTAAATATGTTCAACTTAAATGATAGTTAAACAGTACTCAGACTGATATATACAATTAACAGTTACCAAATTGCAACGGAAACGGACCGATTAAATGGCAGTACATCATTCAATAATTCATTCATTATATTTTGTTTAGCATTAAAATAACACCAAATGATAGTTTTACAAAATTAGGGGGTAAATTTATATTTTTGAATCCAACTTTTCAAAATAACGATTTCTTATTTAATAAATGAGGCAATCAAAACCCTATACATACCTCATTTATAACTGACCAATGAATATTCTGCACAACAACTTCTTGTTATATATATTTGATGTTTTTAATCTGTCAGTAATCATGAAACAGACCAGACCGAAGAAAACAGTAAGTAAATTCTTCCATCAATTAGTTTTTTAAACAGCTTGTTTCAGAACTTCTAATCGAACAGACCTACATGTAGATGCATAAGGTCCTTCCCAATATTCATCCGGTAAATGTTCATTCCTTTTTGATTCTGCAATTTTCCTACACTACATGTACGTTACATGCGAATGCAAAATAATTAGTGTTGTCTGTTCAGTCCAATTAATTAATAGATCTTGCTTTGGTTTTTAACAACAACAAAAATATGCATGCAGACTTCAATGAATAAAATCGTATTAAAAAGCATAAATGTGACATCATTAGCATCAACTAGATTTCACTGACCCGATCAAAACGTGTTTAGGTGACATATATTTGTAGGTTCGATGTGATATATGAAAACTAACTTTTTTATTTTAGTCGTCCGTTATTCCCATTTAATGTCCAACTGAAGCAAAACACCTGAAAAAAACTTTAACCTTTCTTAGTTTTATCCTTGCCTGACAAAACATCATGTTATAAATCGTATTAAAACAGTAGATAACTAAGAACCATAGTAAAAAAAATATTTAAAACTTTTTATAAGCAGTCAGTTAAGTAATAAATTGAAGGAAATAAAACACAAAAAAAACATAAAAATCTAAATGGAAATAGTACATTATAGCAATTTACAAGATCTTGTCTTTGAGTGCTAAGTACATGGAACAATTTATGAAGTTGATTGGTTGTTGTTTGATTTACGTCCAGTGGCAAATATTTCATGCATGTTCATGACTAACACATATCTTTAAATACAATAGGTAGGTCGTGCAATAGGAGGTCAACAGTGAAGTTGGACGTGAAACTTTAAAATACCACTGGAAAATGAGGGTATATCGAATTAGGACAGAAATTTAGACTTGCAACAGCTGGCCACATTCGGACCACTCAAATAATTTGTGCAAGAGTTTTTAATTTGCCGAGAGCGTTGATCCATGAAGTCTACACTAAAGTCGATCATCGATGTTTACGTGTAGTTTACAATATCATTTCACGCATTTAATTTAGGTTAGATACTTTTAGCTCGCTTTAGTAACTGTAAGAAGTCTGTGAAACTGTATTGTTTATTGTACTTGAGTTTTTGGTATATTATATACTACCGCTCCACTGGTTGGTCTCATGTGAAGGTGTTCCCCAAGAGAGCGGGAGGTCGTTTGTTCGAATCCCGACCGGGCCAAACAAAAACGTTAAATTAGTATTGGCTATTTCAACGCTTAACACGTGACATCATAGAGTAGGAGCACAGACTGGTCGGCTCAGAGTCGGAAATGTTTCCGGGTCTGGTGACTTTTCTTCCTGCGAACTAATATCTTGGGAACTTACGTGTAAAAACACCGACTCAGCGTGTCAGTCTAGTAAAAAGCGGGGTTAATACTCGTATTGTATTTACATGTTATCGTCCTGAATATTCTTTTTTTCAGCCGCTGGTCGTCATCCATTATCATCATTTATTTTACCGTTTTATTATACAGTGAAGTGTTTTTCTTCTACTGGTTTATATTACAACTTCTTAAATTTTCACCGATCAAAATTAAAAATAGTATTAAATCAAATGTGACTTTTGGGATATATAATATTTGACGGTAATTATTATTGAGTGAACTCCGTATAACTATTATTAAGTCATTAGGCGATTTTCACTGATTATTTTTCTGTATACGGATCTTTCTATAAAAAAAAGACTGAAAGTTGACTATAAATGTTTTGATATGTCTGTGTATTTGTGTTGCTCTCGCATTAATGTACAGTATACCTTTATCACCTTTTATTCAAAATCAAATGATTCACTTGGGTATAGAAATATTGACATCTCGAGACCTCTCCCGTCCCACAGTATACCCTTGCTAAATGGGTGCGTTCGTTTGGCTTATCGGATATATAAATACGCAGTTTTGTCCCACTGAAATAGGAATGTATATCCGACTCCTGGTGATAGCGAGAATTTCACGCTATCTATACGTTAAAAAAACATTAGAGGGAAATACGATCTATGCACGAGTTGAATGATCGAAATGTGTAATCAACAAGAAAGGTCAGCTAAATCTTTTCAAATAAGTCGCATGGTTGATTTTAACACATTTTTTGCAACTTTTGCTAGGACAATTGTAGATGAAAACAAAATATATATATAACGAAACCGATTAGCAAAACAATATCTAAAAAAATAAATAAATGAAACGCCCAAAATAAGTTGAATCCGTTAATAAATTGTTGTCAACATTTTTTTATCCATTTTTGCTTTTATGGCAACTATTATACTAGTCTGAGATATAAATAATCTTGAAACACAAATGTTTACACGTAGACGAGACAGCCGTCATTGTTCGCTTCAATATATGAGTTATTTGCACTCAATGAAGATCGTTTTCCTGTTCTTATCCACTCTCCTATTAGTTTTGCTAAAGGATACAATATAACCCCTGATGTGTACCACGACAACGTTTTCGTACTGTTTAAAAAAAAAGATTAAATGCAAAGAGAAAAATGATGGAAAAACGATTTACTCTTAAAAATTCATACTTAAATAAATATGAAATATAAAAATTGGAAAACTGTTTTAGACGATTATTTATTGATTTATTGATTGTTGGTTGCTTAACGTCCAGTGGCAAATATTTCATGAATGTTCAGGACGAAAACAAGTTACAAATAAATACAATAGGTAGGTTTTGTAATAATAGAGGGCATCTGGGATGATGGTCGGGGGAATTTGGACTACCACTGGACAATGAGGATATATTGGATAGGGACAGAAATTTTGCCTTGCAACAGGCCACCTACGGACCCCTCAAAGAGTTGTTGCAAGGGTTCTTAACGTGCAAAGAGCGTGGCACTTTCTGTACACGAGGCATCGGATTTAACGTCCCCAATCTGACCGGACGTGGCTGCAAACTTGATACATCCCGCACAGCCAAACGGACGCCCCACTGTTGCAAGCGTTTTACTGCCGGTCGGAAAAAGACCAAGTGACCATATTTCTATTCCCCAATCACCCTTGGGTGACGATTATTTACTGAAACCAAATGATTATACGTCACTAAATGAAGCTGATTAATTCATTGCCCCTTTTATGTCCAGTGGCAAATATGTCATGCATATTTACGACGAGATGCAAAGTGGATCAACCTGAGGCAAATGATTACAATTTTAGAGTTGCACTTTTTACAATAAGGCAGAGCGTTCGCTAGAAGTAAAACGTATGCCGTAATAGAATACAGTTGAATCATGATCGAAGTCGTAAGCTAAGCTATTAGCCCTCCTTCCCTCTTTTTTCTCCACGATAGACGAATGCCAAAAAACAAAACGTCATGAATTTACAAACAATACCGGTCACTATAAATAAATGAGATATGGACTTTTTTATTTAAATAAATTCCTATTGCAGCCAATATCTCTCGGTTCGGGACAGGTTAGTATTTCCACCGATTGATTATTGAATGGAGATATTAAAGCAACCAAAAGCACTTTGAATCAAAAATTTTCTAAAATTGTAAATTATGGTATTTTGCTGGGTGTTATTTCCCGATCCTATTTCGGACCCCCAGATTTTAAGAGGGCGTAGCTAATTAGTGATACCCGATTAACTTTTAGTAAATTGAACCTCAACTTAAAGACCTACACCGGGTATTTAAGTTCGAGGTACAATAAGTAGACAATAGAAATCCTTTGTGAAATAAGATCGTCCCAGGTATCTTAGATAATTATTTTGCGTTGAATAACAATGAAAAATGCACGAGCAGGTTTGTAATAGATATTTATTATATTCATCATTTTCTTTCATGCAGCGAATTTCATCGTTTTTGTTGCTTTCTCAATAGCATATTCCAGAAACAACTTTTGTTTTTTAAAAATTGGACCAATAAATGTTATTTTTCTGTTGCTGCTGAGAAAACAAAGTCCCTACTTTTTGATGTCCCTTCTGTTTTAAGAACTATAAACATAAAACTATTTATTTTAAAGGCCCATGAACTAATAGTCTCCACCTTGCTCATAGCAACTTATTATTTGTCCGTTGATAGTCTAAAAGATACGTTAGTGGTTGCCCTGCCTCTTCATACTTTCAGCTGTTGAGATTTTGGTGTTGGTGGCTGATATTTATTCCTCTCTTATTGATTTATTCGGAACTTCTCTTGACTTAAGGCGACTAAGAGCTTGTTATACCATTTGAAGAATTCACAACGATGTTAACGATATCAATCGCATTTGTACAAATATGCATGTATTTGGAGCATGAATATGAGAATATTTTGATATGAGCCAAAAATTGGGAATCTAAAAAAACTATCAACATATCAAATGAAATAAAAAAAAACTCCGATAGAATAGTATCGCTAATGTCAAAAACATTATTCAAACAGTTTAACATTTATTTTTCTCCAACATTTCAGATAATTTTTTTTTACATAATGTTTCATATCTTAAATTCTTGTTAAAGTCTCTTTATAAAAAACCTACTTCTAATATAATATATTTGATGTTGTCAAAACATTTTTCATACAACTTAACAGTTATTTATTCCCTAACATTTCATATGAAAAATCAAGAGATAGCTTTTTCCACAATTTATATTTCTTGTATTTTCTTGTTTCTAACCACACAGTCTTATCCTCGATGCATTTGAATTTTGACAAAAAAAAAAGGCAACAGTAGTATACCGCTGTTCGATAGTCATAAATTGATTAAACTGAAACAAATCCGGGTCACAAACCAAAATTTAGGGAAACACATCAACTATAAGAGGAAAACAACGGAACAACAGAAACACTGAACTGCTACAAAAACAAACGCCAACATACATAGAAACGGACTATTTGATAACAACTGCCATATTCCTGACTTGGTACAGGACATTTTAAGAAAAATGGTGGGTTGAACCTGGTTTTATGGCTAGGCAAACCTCCCGCTTAGATGGCAATGTTAAAACTACCGCTAAAATGACAACATTACGTGACAAGAATACAGTACAAATAACCGCAAGAACACTCAGGACAGAGAAATACATAAATAAATAATATAATAGTACATTATTATTATAGTACAATAAAAAAATTGTCTTACATAAGTGTGTGTTTGTTTGTGTGAAATTGTAAATAAGTTCTAGCAAAACTTTTCATAAAACATTGCTCTTACAGTTCTATTGATAACTGTTTTACCTTTATTTTGTTAACTGTGGCTTACGTCCATCGTCATGTAGAGTAACCTCAGTTAAATTGTATTCAATAGAAGGCACACCAAAGTTTGGTAACGTCCGTACCTCAGGTTCTTTGTTTAACGAATGATGAATAAGGAAAATACTTTGCAAGTCAATCCCTTGTTGAAACATGCTATTATACAATTCATTATTTAGGATATATAGTCATCTTAGATTTGTTATACATTTAAGACATAATCCTTCCGTCATGTTTGATGTTTATGACATACTACGTGTACATGAGTAGGTATTTCCGATGAACATGATAGAATACCGGATTACACATACACGCACCTAACATGGATTGAGTAAAATGTCATCTTTATTTTAACATTTTACCTGCGTTCGATCTTTCACTGTTTATAATCAACTTTAAATGACCCTTCACAAATAACTGATAAAATCACTTCAATGTGAGACCTTTGTAAATATTTTCGGCACAGAAAACATATTTACTTCTATCTTAAAGGAGCGTTCGCTGAATATCGTCAATCTGTTATTTATCATGTTATTTATAAAAAAATATATAATTGCGCAAGATCCGAAAGACGACTACAATTCAATATGAATTAATAAACGTGCTGAGTATCGGATAGTATCACCAGTTTTTGAAATGATAAGCAGATATTCAGGGCGTAATTATAGAATTATGCTGGGGTATACAAATAAAAACAAACAGTCCACACGTTCTCTTCTCATATAACTGAATATATTTTGACATTTATCCTGGGGTATAAACATAAAGACAAATACTCCACACGTTCTCTTCTCATATAACTGAAATATACTTTGACAGGTGGCCAATGACCCTTAACCGAATGGTTGGAGAAGTAATTTTATATTTAAACGTAAATTATTATAATGTATATTTTGTTTCTTGTATTAAAATGCAGTGATTAGATACTTGAGCACATGAGATCACCCCCGATTTTTGGTGGGCTTCGCGTTGCTCAGTCTTTAGTTTTCTATGTTGTGTTTTGTGTACTGTTGTTTGACTTTTGTTTTTTTTTTCTTGACAATGGCGTTGTCAGTTTATTTTCGACTTTGAGTTTGAGTTTGAGTTTGAATGTCCCTTTGGTATCTTTCGCCTCTCTTTTGAAATGATTGTTTCAGTTAAAGCTGATAAGCTCTCTGTATGAACCTGACGACCCGTCTCAAAATATAGTTTTGTCAAGTGCGAAATATATTTGTTATTGCATCTTTTTCATGTGAAAACGCCTTGAAGGTTTAATAGATTGAGATGATGTTCAATCAAGGTAGAGACGGTATCGAATTTGAATTGACAGACTGAAAACCGATAATGAAACAGACACAAACGTTTGAAACCGACTCTTTCTGATAAAAAAATGAACATTTCAACTGGTCTTTTTTTATTTACCAGTTTACTTAAACATATTATGTATGAACACCTTTATATAGATATAAGAAGATGTGGTATGAGTGCCAATGAGACAACTCTCCATCTAAGTCACAATTTGTAAAAGTAAACCATTATAAGTCAATTTATGTCCATTTTGGTTGTATAAGCTCTAGGGTTTTCAAATACTAAGACCTCGAGTATAAAAAAGTAAAATAACAAAAATACCGAACTCCAACAGTATAACTGATAGAGAAATGTATTGTCGAAATGCGCATCCGGGGTAGTAAAATCAATACCGTTAATGTTTTCCCATAATAACGATATAACACTAGAAAGTTGTAACTACATACTAAGATTAATCCAAATTGTTATATGATTCATGCATGAATATAGCTTTACGTTTTTCGTATCCATAACTAGTAGGGTGCCCAGTGTCCAAAAAGTCCTCTAGTTAACAAGTTTAAGTTTACGGAATAACACACGGCTAAATTTGTTTGCAAATTATTGGAAAATTATTATATTTTACACCCGTGGTCACGATTTTCTAAATTTCGTGTTTTTACAGGGTACCCTCAGATACCGTTTTGTACGGGGAATCTTACCATGAAAAATAAAATTATTGCGTTCTTTGTAGGTGGTTGAAATAGTACTTTAAATATAGTGTATATATTAAATATATCATATAACGAAAACGAAAGTATCTAGAAATATTTCAGCATTTTAGTAAGACTAAAATTTTACCCGAAATTTACCACATTTTCATCGATAGCAAAATTATTACGTGTATCATCACGAGATTTTTTACTCTGATTTAAGCTATAAGAAACAGTGCATGTGTGTGTCAAATTTCATGTGTGAAATATAAGTCGTTTTGAAGAAATTGGCAATTAAAAACACAAATTAAGTCAACATTTTGGCATTGGTTAAACACGGATTATCCTGTGCCATTAATCATTTTGTGCTTACACGCTAAGGTCATTAACAAGGGCAGTTGTCACCCAAAACATTTCTCATTTTTGTTTGTTGTGTCGTTAATCTATTTGTTTTAAATATCCATTTAACTTTATAGATTGATAGTTTGTTCGGAGGTATATGTTTTGTGTCGGTTTTTAATAACTTTTAACTTTCTATTGAATATATGTTTTTGTCATAATTGTAGTATAAGAATCAAATCGGCCGCTTCCGTTTCACACTCGGAATATGTCTCATCAAGTCTATGCCATTGTCTTGCATGATGTTTTCGACCTAAATCACCCTCGGTGTGAACGACAACAAACGAGCTAACCACCGAAGCCAATGAACTATATGTGCCAAGCATGTATGCTTAATCTAAGTTAAAAGACATATACACCTTGCTATCATTCCATTCACCAAATATATTTAACCCACTACTTATAGTGACTGAGATACAGACTTGTTTACGGATAATTAACCTTGTTCACTGATCAATGAAATGAGATCAAGGTCAGGTGAACCATATCTAACAGACATTCAGACATGGCAAGCACACCATATTTTATTAACCAAATATAGTTATCCTAGAACTCATAATAAGTGAGACATTCACATGACGAAAAAAAAAGATATACAGTTCTTTTTTAGCAGTCACTGAACCATGAAAATGAGGTCAGGACAATGATTATATGACAGATGGAAACTTCGTAACGCAACGGATCTATATACAAAGTATGAATCATCCAATTCCTTTATCCTCTGAAATATTAAACTATTAAAAAAAATAGTTTACGCCGTTGCCTCAGCCATCACCATCAGATTGTATTCTCTTTGCCTCGCATTCATCGACTTGCGCCAAATGCGAGTTAAAAAAGAACAACTGAAATTAGCTCTCTGAGCTAGACATGTCGATAGGCTTTGAAATTAATAGTAGAAATGAAATGTAGTACTATATGTATAGTAGTTACTATTAGCTTCGACAATTTTTCTATGCTGTTTACAAGTGTTTTTGAAATACATTGGTGCTATACAGAACCATCCTTTTTTAGATAATCTTTAACTTCATGTCAATTGCATACCCAATTTATGCTCAATAAGTCATATAAGTGTGTAATATGGAGTTATTAGTCTGTTTCTAATTGTCTTATTGTTTTCTTACATTTGACAGACACTCCTCCTCCTTTTTCGCCTTTTGCAGTATTTCTCATTTCTATAAAGCAAAGATATTATCAAACCTGCTAGTTCAATCAATTCCGCGTTAGTATTACACCAGTTTTGGAACAAAGTACAATGATATGTGCTTCCACACCTACCAAAAGAAAATTGGATATTTACCCAGAAAAAGCATTACGAACACCTTCTATTAAAAGACGGAAAAAATAACATTTTGGGAGGACAACTTATAAATGATAATATATAAAAATCATCTTTAGAGATCACTTGTATCGAATCTTATATAAAAACTCCGAATTGTAAATTTTAATGGGTCAAGGTCACTGTTATTTAACAGCTGAATGAAAATTTTAAATGTGTACCCTATAAGTATAAATGTCAATCTCGAATCATATTTATCAACAGCAATATCAAATTAGTCCTACATATAGAAACTATTGTTATAGTCCTTTGAACTATTTGAATTTATTTCGCTCTAAACGCATATATGTAGGGGCAACAAGCTGTCTAAATGTGACTCTGCGCTTTCCCTGAAATTTTAGTTTTGACCTTTGACCCAAATTTAAGAAAATCGTGACCACTGTAGACAACGACGACATTGATATTTCGATGAGGCTTGTTCTCCTCTTTTCAATGATATACTAGTATAAAGAACATCCGTGTGTTATTCCGTTAACCCAAATCGATCACATTTGTTGACTGGGCACCCTTCTAAATATGATATGATGGTAGGTTGGACTAGCTTTTTAATATTTAATAATCAAGTTGATGAGCAGGATTTTTATTTGAAAATATATCATGCAATAGAAGTCAAAAATACAATTACAGAAAAAAAAAAATCAACTGACCATCAACATATAGAAAATGTTTATGCTACTATCAAATTAAGTTATATAGAGATTCTCTGGAGGACTTTTTGTTTAACAACAGAACCCCTTACACACACACAAAAACACTCACACACAAACACCCATACAATACCAACAAAACAACAATTCAAAGTTACAACCAATCAAATATATTCATCTGCAAATCGACTCCATTTGCCCCTTTATTTTTAATTTCAACTACTATTTCATTTAAATCATTAGTTTTTCCATTATGTTTATCTTTGGCAAAGCAAATATTACCTTTTCCCAAAACCAAGGATCCTGACTTTTTAATTAAGTTCTAGTTTTCATGTAAAGTTTGAGTTTCGGATAAAGTTTGGAGAAATCAAAATTTTTCATAAGTATTAGAATTATTTCCTTATATCTATCTACTAAGACCCTGTGATGAGCTGTTTGGAATTCGTGTTGACACCACCCGCTCTCAAGGAAATTATTTGAGACTATTATGACCGTTTGAGAACTTTCTACCAATTAAATGATTATCTCTGCTATACATGCGCCAAATTGGAAATCCCGAAAGAGTAGACATAATTTATACCACTCCTTCTTTTCGAGTCTTGGCACTAGTTTATGCACAACACATCCTTCATCTGTATGACTATAAGAAATGAAGGCATCATACAGTGTATTTTCATCATGTTTTTTATTCAGGAATCGTATTCTAAGTTTGTTGTAAATGACGACTTCAGTTCTATTAAATGGTGCATCGTAGCGATCTCTGAACTAGCATTTCTAGAGTTGTTGTCCAAATAGTAAATATCACGACGGTCTTTAATGGCATCTGCTAACTCGTACGTTATTTCTTTCAAATTATGTAAAATAGTACAGTCACAAGACCATGGATTATTTGATAAACTTAATTCATTAAGAGCCTCCATTGTATTGGTGAAATAAGAAGGAAGAGATGTTAACGCATTATAGGTTAAAAGCTAAACTTCATAATTTGCTGTTCCGTTAAACTTTTATTTGATCACTCAGACACAATAAAAGCATTGTTGGAAATATGGGTAATGAAATTATATTGAAGATTAAGAGCTCGTAAGGATACAATTACGTCAAATATTGAGTCTATTCTGCACAGTTTATTCTCATTTAAGTATAGAATTTCC